TGTCAATTTTTGACTCAAACACGAACCCAACTCGTATCAAACGTGACACGAATCTAAAAATAACACGATTCGTTGACAGGAGTAATAAATGAATCAAATTAAGGTTCGACATGAATAACACGATTACTGAGTACTGTATATAGAAAATAATTATTTGATGAGTATTTTAGATAGAAAATAAGAATTTTATAATTTTTTATAATTTTTTAAATAGTATTATATTAGTCGTTGTCAAATTAAATAATTTTTTATTAACACGAACCCGACACGTACCGAAAGTAATATAACACAAAAATAACATAACCGAAAGTGACACGACACAAAACTGATATGACACGATACGATTGACACCCCTATCTCACGTGAACAAGAAGTGAGTAAACATTTTCATCACCAGTCTCTGATAAGTCGTTCTTGCGTTCTTTAGCCCCAAATGCATTATCTTATAATAGTAGGTTCCTTCATGCGTTATAAAAGAGGTATTTTCTTGATCTTGCTCGGCGAGGGGAATTTGGTGATAACCCATGTAAGCATCTAAAAACCTCATTCGCTGGTGGCCAGCAGTTGTGTCAACTAGTTAATCTATTTTTGGTAAGGGAAGCTATTCTTTGGGCATGTTTTTGTTGAGGTTGGTAAAGTCAACAAAAACCCTCCACTTCTCGTTCTTCTTCTTGACAACCACAGTATTGAACAACCAGGTCAGATATTAAACCTCCCTAATGGTCTGCGACTCTAGCAACCGTGCCACCTCTTCTTTCACCGCTTTTATGATGTTGTGGTGACGATCTTATTAGCTTCTGTTTCACTGGTTTAATACTAGAATCAACGTTCAGTCGATAACACGCCACCTCTGGCGGGACGCCAAGCATTTCGTGTGTTGTCCATGCAAAAACGTTGGTGTATTCACTTAGCAAAGAAACAATCTGCTCATGTTGCTCGGGTTCCAAAAAAACACTCAGAAAAAAGTATTTCTTTTCATCTTTGTCTAAAGGTACTTTAGACAAGTCTTTGATAGTTTGTTTGGTCAACTCTTTACTTTGTCTAAGGGTATTTTAGACAAGTCCTTGGTATTTCTGTCGATCGGCTCCTTTTCTTTGTCTAAAGGTACTTTAGACAAGTCCTCGATAGTTCAGTTGATTGGCTGCTCAAACTCTTTGTTGACGACCGAGCTATCGAGATTTGGTTGCTATTTCATCGTGTATGGAGCCGAGTTCCCATTGCGCTCCTCTCCGTTATCTCTTCCCTTTACTAATGCCAACAAACAAGTCCTTGAGCTTACCTGGTCTTTGCGAATGTCTATTATGCCCTTCACTGAGGGGAATCTGAGCATCTAGTGATACGTCGATGATACCGCCTTCATCTCATGCAACCAGGTACGACCCATGATAGCATTATATGCCGAGGTCGTATCGATTACTAGGAATCTGTTCATGATTCAAATTGGGTCTGTCCTTACTAGAAGCGTGATTTTTTTTCCTTGGAAGAACTGTTTTTCCACTGAAGCCGACCAATGAGGTATTGGTTTGCTTTTGGTCCTCTTGCTTGAGTCCAAGCTTCTGAAAGAGATCCATATACACAATCTTAGAAGCACTTCATGGGTCAATCAACACCCTTTTTACATCATAGTTCGCAATTTGGAGGGTGATTACCAGTGCATCATTGTGCAGCTGGTGTACCCTGATCAAATCCTGCTCGGAGAAGCAGATGACGACTTTGGTTGCCTCCTCTAATTTCATCCTCTTGTTCCTGATTTCTGGGGATAGCCTCAACCAATAGACTTTTCTTTTCTTGGTTGCTCTCTGGATATATGCCCTAGCAGTGTTATTGGTCGTCGTCTGGGGATTTGTTTCAACATGGATCACATCGATGACTCCAGCTGCGGTAGTTTGGTCCCCTTGAAGTTCGGTTCCCCCTTCAGTAGCCCTATCTCCTATGCTTTCTATGAATTGTGAGAGGTGCCCCACCTGGTCCAACTCCTCAAAATGCTACTTTAATGATCGACAATTCTCAGTCATGTGTCACACATCCTAATGATAGGAGCATCTGAAATTGGGGTTTTTCTTCGACAGGTCACCCGTTAGCTTATTAGGCCATTTGAAATATGGTTTTCCCTTAGTTTGAGTCAATATCTTATATATGGCTTTGGTCAAGTCAGTAGGGTCATTAAGTATTGCTCTTCATCTAAACCAATCACTTTGTAGACTTTACTTCATCTAGAGCTCTCATCAGTAAAGACTACTACTGATTTAGGAAAGTTGAAATTGATTTTTTTGATGATATAAAGATACAAGCACACAAATGAATCTTTGTGGCAATACACAAAGAAACTCAAGGGTCTTCATATGTCTTTTCTTGGAACTCAGGTGTTTGTGAGTAATTTAGTCGAGAATTAAAGGAGATTTATTCCAAGAGAGGAAGAGAAGTAAATTTTAGAAGACGTTTAAATTCTGTGACTCCGATCTTACAATTATTTTGATTCTAGCAAACCATGACACTATATCTTCAATTCGAAGAGTTGACTATTGTACAAAAATTTGATTTTTTGATATCATACTAAAAAAATTAATACGAATCATTGATTAATTTCACATACAATTGAGAACATAAATGAATATACGACACTAAATGATATAAATAGTTAACATAATTGAAAAAAACAGTTACCACACTAATAAAAACATCCACCTTAAACGTTAAGTTAACACAATTGTGGAAAAGGTATGATTAGCATATGAAAAAGATATGATTGGCAAATGATTATGACGATCACATTCTTGGTGCATCATGGGGTACACCTAAAGATAAATGCCTTTGCTTCTTTCATTTAATTCTCTCTCTCTCTCTCTCTCTCTCTCTCTCTCTCTCTCCAGGAACACTTTGTTCCCAAAAGAATAAGACGTTCACATCACATCACCTCTATAGATCACTTTATTTTAAATCTCCATCTATTTTGCTATTTTTTTCCTTTTAAAAAAAAAATTATTTAATAGTTATCATTAATAAACAAAGAATTTGCTTATGTATAATAAATCTCACTTAAATTTATAATAAATTATCTACTAAAAAATAGGAATTAAAATTATTAGAGCAATTCTCAATCTATTTTTATCATTTTATAATGACTTGGTTAGGGAGAAAGTGGATTAAACATTATGACTTATGAGATCCCACAGGACCACCGGTGTAGTTTCAAGAAGGGTGAAACAATAAATCAGAATGCTGTTTAGGGATGCAAGTGATATGGCAATACAAAAGTGGATCACGTGCCTCCCGTTTAACTTATCCCCATGGTGCATGAACACCACCCAAGACTCAACATTTCCTTTCTCTTTTTTTTTTTTTGTAGTACGTAAAAGATTTTTAGATTAATTTACGTTCCTTTCGACTACTCCATTTTTGGGGTCCGAAAAAATGGGGAACTAAGGGCTATGAATTATCCTTGGAGGTATAAAAAATAAATAAATTATGGATTGAAGTTAAGGGAGACAATTTCGATTCACAAAGAAAAAAATTATAAGTTAAAGTTAATTATTTTTTGATAATAATCTAGAAATAATATAATTTATTAATACTAATTATTTATGTCCCGTCAGTATCAAACATGCATAGCTTGATTTTGACATAGTAGCTTTATTTAGTTTGGTATATAATATATCAAGAAAGTTCCCAAATTTTATTTTTTTTTCATTTTATGATATGATATTTTATAAATTTTTATATATTTAGACAAATTTTTTTCTTAGATTGTAAATATTTGATCTAATGAATATACTCAAATATGTTACGATTAATAGATAAATCTCGTTAATATTAGATTATTTAACATAACTAATCAACAAAACTATTTTCTTTTAAATTTAATGTAAGTAATTAATGTCAATTAATAATCAATACAAAATTAAAATAATATGACGTGAATGCCATACATCACGATTTGATTGATACCTGCACTTACAAAGATTAATACATTTTGCCGGTTTTACAAGTTGGATGGGCTCTGAAACATCTGTCTAAGAAAAATCCTACTTTACCAAAAATAAAAATAAAAAACCACAAGAAAACTAAACCATAGATAGAAAATTAAAATACACCAAGAGTCTAATATGATAAATTTTTATTTTTTTGTTATTAGGTATTTAAGTTTATATCGAATATTCTCTCGAGTTTTAATACTAATCAGTATGATCTGATTGAGTTTATAACATGTCTCATACAAAACAAAGATGACTTACCATTAACGGTATCACAAGTATTGAACCTCACACATCTAACATTGAAGATATGGTAAATTACTTATGCACAATCTACCACATGGAGTAGAGAGAGATATATGGTAAATTATTTATGAACAATCTACCACATGGAGAGAGAGAGAGAGAGAGGGAATTTAATAAACTAATGAGGTGGTATATTTCTTTTTTTTCGTTTGGGGGTAATATTTGGGGTGGTGTATATAAACAAAAGAAACTTGCTGCAATGAAAAAGGAATGGAACTGCAAGAGAGGTATGCTAGATGAGGGATAAAGCAAAGCCAGCGAAAATGCTTGAAATCCAAGCTGTTGGGTCTTCACGAATTTCATAATTTCACAAATAAAATACTTTCTGTAGATAATTTTTTGCAGGAATGTCAGAGAGAGATTAGTGGGCTCACAACAACTCTTGTTTTTCTTGGTCTAACTATACACATCTGGGTTCTGATCTCTCTTTGTTTTATGCTCTTTTTCTATGCATATGTATATGTGTATCTCTGTCCTCACACAACTTGTTGCTTCACGAACACTCTTGTCTCCTCTCAATCCCAGTTGAGAACCACAGCCTCTGCACCAATTGCCTACCCATTTGCAAAACCAAGGTCACCTCTTCTTTTTTTTTTTGGCACATTGGGTCACCTCTTTCTGTTTGTCCTCTTGCACATCTCAGAATATGGTCTTGTTTCATTCTCAGTCCCCATTGGGTTTATGTGCTTGTTGGCTTCCTACTCTCTTTATTTTTTGAGGCAAGTTCAAGAAAGATTCTTAATCTGAGGTGGGTTTTGAGGTTCTGGGTATAGTTTATTTGGGGTCATGGATATCTGTTGTGATCTTGAAGTAGATGTCAATGGGGAAGAGATTTTCTTTGTAAATAAGGTAATTTCTGTGTGCTTTGTTTCCTTGTTCTTCTGTTTTGTCTTTCTAAAGAAACAATTTGTGTTTTTTCTCTCTGTCCAAATTGTAGTGTTTCAAATTAATGTTGTTCTGTTTTCCCTAATTTGTCTGCTTTTACAAGGTTTGTACTTTGATATGAGCAATTAAACCTTCTATTTTTTTGGTTTGGCTGCTGAGAAAATGTGGGGAAAGGGAAACGTTCAGCAAACTTGGCCTCCCAGGAAGAAAACATTTTCTCACTGTGCTTAATTGGACTTACATAGACTATTTTTCTTACCCATTGGAAACCCAAATCACGAAACATTAGTATGCAACTTTTTCCCTTTTAACCACATTTTCTCAGGAAGTAATACATGATGTGAATTTCCATTCTGCTTCCCATAGGTTATAATCTGGGTTCTTATATTTCAACAGTTATAACTTATATGTTTCTGTACAGTTTCATCATTTTTCTTTATGAAGTTACAAGGTTTCTCCCTTTTTTTTCTTGCTTGCTTTCTTTTTCTGTTTCTTTTTTTTTTTATTCTGTGGTTTGCTGGTTCCTACTAAGCCTAACATTTAATTTACACCTATTTTGCTTCAATGTGGGGCTTACTTGTGATCACCAATAGGTTGTGTAATCTTTGGTTGCTTCTTCTCTCATTTATTGCTGTTATAATGGAGCTTAAATGTTGATGCCTTTATCTGTACCTTTCACTGCTTTTAAGGGTGACCAAGGCTGCCATCATGATATTTTTACTGTTTCTTTTCCTTCTTTGCTGGGATCATGAGCAGGCATCTTTTCTTTATCCTCTTCAACAATTTATTTCCTATAACGACCTCTCAGCATTCTTTTGCAGGGATATGTACCGTTCCTCTTTCAATCCATTTTTTCGTTTGCTAAATTCATTCCCTTAGGTGGGCTTTTATGCTGAAAGGTTCCTCTGTGAAAGGGATTGTGTTTGTCTTTAAGATTAACTTAAACCCCTGTACTTTATCTTTGCATAAATGTTTCCTTAGCAACTCATTTATGTATCTTCTGCTTACTCAGTTCTAGTTTTTTGATTGTACATGGTGATGAAGATAATCTTGATGGGTACTTAACTATTACAAAAAGACAATGTTTTATACTACTCAACTCGACAAATCCTGTTTTTCTGTTGTATTCTATCAAGGGTTGTATTTTCCTTTAAACCGTAACATATTGTTATTTTATGCCAGTTCTCTTTTCTTTTTACGAACTTCTCATGTTTTTGTTTTACTTTTCTTTATCATCTCACTTGGTAGTACCATAAATACGTGCAGGAAATTATATCGTCCTACTCAAGCAAAATTGGCAAATTGTTTGGTAAATCAAAAGGAGCGACGAGGAACCTGAAGGTGATATTCCATGACTTCCCTGGAGGAGCGGAGGGTTTCGAGCTTATGACAAGGTTCTGCTACAATAATGGCAAAATTGAGATAAGCCCCGTAAATGTTTCTCTCCTATTCTGCATTGCTCATTTCATGGACATGTACAAATCTGTCTCTGGGATGCATAATTTAATAGAGCAGAGTGAGAAATCTCTTGAAGAGATGAGGTACTGGACGTGGTCCGAGCTTTTGGTAGTTTTGAAGCAGTGTCAAGATTTAGTCCCTGTTGCGAATTCTTCAGGATTACTTGATAAATGCTTGGATTCTCTTGTCGGAAGGCTTGCTTTTGCCAGCGAAACAAGTCCCTGTCCGTCTACTTCTTCCCCTGATAGCTCTGGGATTCGGTTGTCTTGTGACACTAGAAGCACTGAGAGCTTGAGAAACAATTTTTTTCGAGCAACATGGTGGTTTGAAGATCTTGCTGCCTTCAATCCCTACTTGGTTAAAAGGGTAATAAAATCAATGCTCTCCCAAAAATTTGATCATAGTATCATTAGTAGGTTTCTATTCTATTACCAAAAGTCAAAGTTTGTCACTGCCGCATCTGAGGAGAAGCAGGAAATCTTTGAGGCAGCTGTTGATATGCTCCATTCTCTAGATTGGAGGGCTGTTTCTTGCAAGAGCTTATTTGGGATTCTCCGAGTTGCTCAGAATTTAAGCATAAGCAAATGCTGCAGGAACAAGTTGGAGAGTATGATTGGTTCCCAGTTGGATCAAGCAACACTAGACAATCTCCTTGTTCCATCTCCAGTTTGGACAAATTATCTCTATGATGTGAATTTGGTTCTCAGATTTTTAAAGTCGTTTCTTGGCAGAGGAAGTGTACCATTGGCTCAATTGAAGAAAGTTGCTGGCTTGATGGACTTGTATATAGCTGAAGTAGCCCCGGATCCTCGGCTGAGACCATCGAAGTTTTTGGCTCTAGTTATGGCGCTACCAGACTCTGCTGGCGACTCCTCTGATGGAATCTACCGTGCTATGGATATGTATTTGGAGGTATAACATTTTGTTCACAAAATTCAGTAACCAAGGAAGCTTTCTAGCCTTCTAGTCTTTCAATCTGCATAGTTTAGTTTTGAACTTTACTGAAAATAGGCAACGTTGGAGTAGATTCTGAATCCAATTTTGTTGCTCCAATAACAATTCTACTTTTTTGTAGACCCAAAGAGGTAATCATTCAAGTTATTTGGTCTATTTGGTCCAATTTGAATTTTTTTGGGTGCAGGTTCATGCTGACTTGTCTGATGAAGAAAAGATAAGAATCTGTTGTGGACTGAATTATGAGAAACTCTCATTAGAAGCTTGCAATCATCTTGCTCAGAACCCTAAATTTCCATCAAAATCTGCCAATCACGCGCTCCTCACTCAGCAATCCAAGCTCAAAAGTTTGCTCCAAGATACCAACCAACAGAAACCATTTAAAGACTCACCCTGCAGTTTTGTGGAAACAGAAAATAAGGAAAAGAAAGATGAAGCCTGTGAACAAATCGTGCTGTATGCTGGAAAGCTTGATCTTTCCACTGAAAATGAGAAGCTCAGAGCACATTTGCAAGGAATGCAATGGAGGGTGCTGGAATTGGAGAAAGTTTGCAGGAAAATGCAATCCCAGATGGCAAAGATGATGAAATCGAGATTATCAAGCCGTAATAATGCTAGATCTGTATCTAGGCTATGTTCATGATAAATAATCTGCAAAAAATTATTAATTCTTTTCATATTTTCTGCCTTCATATGTATGTACATAACATAGCATGAGAAATGGCTTTTTGTGATTGCTCTTTTGTGATTGTAACAGTTCTATTTTCCCTGCATTCAAGGTGAGTAGGATCAATTTCTTTTTAGAGAGAGAAGGCAATGGCTGCACATAGAGAGAGAGAGAGAGAGAGAGAGAGTTCTGTGGTGTTGGTGCAGAAACTGTTTGGTATGTAAGATGGGCATATAAGGTGAAGTCTCTTTCCATGTCACTATCAGGTTAAGGCAAGTCGGCAAATGAGCTGCATGAAAGAGCAATGTTAGTGGGATATAATTTGAAGACTTAATGATTGTGACCATTAAATTGTTAATGGGTCCCAATTTTAAAGTATCACTTGGTCCTAACATTATCTATCCAATGGTTATAATGTATGAAGTCTTTAAATTATGTCCCAATAACATTAGTGCTGCATGAAAATATTGATAACTTAAAAAGTTGAGGATTCTTTATTATCATCTCAATAGTCTTGGATCTCCCCACATTTCTCACAAGTAAAGTTTTGTTGTGATCCTTTCGCCCTCTATTATTATTTTTTTTGTTGTGCAAAAAAGGGGTGAGGTTAAATGAGATCACCTCGATAGATCTTTACTGGTAGAATCACGAGATTCTTGACCACGCCCGTTACTCCGCTCGAGAACAAACGTAATTAAACTAGCATAATAGTCAACCACTAAGTCCCAACGTGGACTCTAAAACTCTATTGCTTGGTGTTTTCTTTCATTATTTCAAATGCAACTTTGCAATAACCTTTGTTGCTGGAGCTATAACATATAATGTTATACAGGTGTCAATGAAGTCGTGTTGTATTATGTAAGTCATGTTATCTTTAAGTTGTGTCATTTTGTGTTTTTGTGTTACCTTCACGTCGTATTCATGTCATTCTTTATGTACCCCATGACCGTGAAATCTAAAGAATGTCACTTTATTTTTTCTCAATTAAATCCACCAAACATGTCCCTTATAAAATAAAATAATTTGTTTTTGATACTTGCTTGACTCATTCATCATTTAATTTAATTACTTCTTGTGCTATTTTCTGTCATATCCAACATTGGATACTTCAGTAAGTGCTTCTTGGAAGCTTAAGTTGTACTCCTCTACAGTTTTTATTTTGGGGATGGGTGGTGTCGGTTTAGCAATGACCAGTACCCCAACAGAAATGTTGTGGCCCATTTGTTTATGGAAAATTCTTCTTTATAGTCATGGTCACCAATGCGACCAGTACTAGTTTTCTCACCCCAGATTTCGCTCTTTGGACTTTTTATTTGCAATTTAATAGATACCTAGGAAACTATTTTGTTGCTTGGGACCATGAGTAATGAGTCCATGAGGCCTCATTAGATGGTAAAGTCAACTTAGCAATTGACTTGCCCTATAAAACAATGGGGAAGATCAAGGCATCGAAAACGATACCATCCCAATATGTATAATCTTTTAATATTAAGTTATAATTTTTTGAGTTATAATTAGTTACAAAATGCAAAATACATTATCAATCTCAAAATCTAATTCATCATAAAAGTTAGGTTACCACTCACAAAGACAAGTTACAATTTGCAAAGGATAAGTTGAAACCAGGGACAGCTCGAAAACATATAAGATCTAAAGTAAAAAGTGTCAATGCGACTTTTTTATTTTTAATAATTTTTTAATTTAAAATTTTTTAATAATTTTTTTCCAAATTATGCAAACATCTTTTTTAAATTGATACTTTGACTTTTGATAACAAATATTTTGATAGGATTATAATTTATTACCTCATTAATATTTTTATGTTCCTATTAGTTTTGCATTTTTTTATCTAAATTATGGTATTATATGATTGACTACCATTATAAATACATTAATTACTATCTTTTTGTTGAATTATTCTACTATCTTTAAAATTTTTAGGATCATTTACTTATTTATATTTGCAATTATTATTAAATTTTATTTGTTACAAGTAATAACTTTATCAAAACGATATTTTTGAAATTAAATTAGGTTTTATTTTGGATCCTTTATGAGTATAAATAATTTAGTTTATATTTGTGCTTAAATCATAATAAAATCAAGCATGAGAAAGGTAGATAATGTGTTGAATTTATTTTATTTTTATACATGAGAGAGAGAGAGAGAGAGAGAGTGATTGATGCTTATTATATATATATGTATATATAAGAGAAAGTAAAAAAAGAAGGATCGATGTCAAGACTTTCTTTTTTAACCCTTTTTGTCCTTTAATAAATGTGATTTTTGTGAGGTGGGTTGGATTTTTGGGTCTAAATTTTAAAATTATTTTTGTTGGCTTACTCTTTAAGAAGTGTTTTTGTTGGACTAAATTGTATTAAAATTTAATAATAAACTGGTATTATATTATTGATCATAAATTTTTTTCTATATTGTTTAGCCGGCACCGGTTACAACTGATTTAAATAATTGATGATCGAACATAATATTTCATATTGAATCATCAATCAAATGTAAATTTACCTTCTAAAAATAATAAGGGAAAATTACGAATAAGTATTATTTTTTTCTACAAATATTAATTAAGTTTTATCATTTTTGTTTTATTTCAATTAAGTCCTAATGCCTTTATATTTCAATTTACCCTTAACTTTTAGTTACCAAAATCTTTTTATTTTTTTTTGGTATGTCACAACTTCAGCGGCACACACTCGATGTAGCTTTGCAATTCTTATTTGTTCTCTTATTCAACAATGATAACACACCCACACATATATATATATATAAAGTAACTTACATTTCAAATCTCAAAAGATAAATAAAATGACTTTTGTTATTTGCGGTTGAAATTACTTTAAATTTTATTTTAAAGTTAATGTAACAATTTTTATTAGCACTCTAAATTTAATAGAAGAAATAAACCTTTAAGGGTGTGTTTGGACTGACTTCTTAAAAGTAATTTTAAAAATTATTTTTCATAAATACTTAAAAAAAAAATAGTATTTGAAACCGCTTTACTACTACCTCTACTACCGCCACCATATCCACTATCACGGTCACCACCACACCACCGCCGCCGCCGTAGTCATCGCCACTACTACCTCCACTGTTGCCGCTGCCATCACTATCACCACCATCATCGACGTCGCCGTCACCACCATCGCCACCATCATTATCGTCATCGCCACCACCACTACCATTGTCGCCGCAACCACCACCACCGCCTCTACCACCGCCTCCACCACTGCTATCGCCATCACCGCCACCGCCGCCACCATCATCATCGTTGTCGCCCTCGCCGCCACCACAGTCATTGCCACCCACCACAATCATCACCATCTCCTACCACCACCACTGTCGCCCACCATTTCTCACCCCACTACAAACCGATACTTAAATTTTTTTATCTCTTCTCTATGTTTGTGATTTAATTTTGGATATGAATACAAATATGTTTGTTGTTTATCATTTTTTATTACTTTATGCCTTCAGGCACATAAAATAACTAGCATATATATATTTTGTGGAGATTATAAATTAGAATTTTTTTTGCCCTTTTATTCTCACTTTTCGCTCCTTAAAAAATTGTTAGAGCTAAAAAAATACACAATTGTTGTATATCAATATTATTTAACTCAATTTTATGTTTTTTTTTTCAGAGTGGTTCAATTGTCATATTTTTTTTATATGAATTAATTAATTTATTTTTATTTCTAGATATTTAATTTTTATTGAAGTTATTCGTACAGACACGTGGATATTTAACTCTATACTGTATTTCCAAGTCTTCCCTATATTGACCATGGCGGCTTAAGTTCCGAATACAGTGCTAAGTGCTAACTCTAGGTTATTTAGACTAGTGCTCGCGAGGAAAAACTAACTCGAGTCACTATCAATCTCATTTGTCTATAGAGTGACACCGTGCTAAATCTATTTTTGTTAGGCTCATGCAGAGTAAGGAAAAAGTAAACTATTAATTACAATTGATTCCACTTGTGTTTAAGTGACACAACCAAAGCAGATTTATGGGTTTATCATATTTACGAGTTTTTTTTTATTAATATTGTGAATATTTTTATTACTGTTCTGGTAATGAAGAAAAATAATAAAAATAATTATCACAATAGTGATAAAAATTGATGAGTCCAAAATTGATTGAGTTAAACTCAATTAAAATAAATCGAGAAAGTCTAATCAAAACTGGGTTCAACCATCAAAAGGAGTTCAAATCAACGGAGTGTAAAGGGAGTTGAATAGTGAAAATAAGTGTTGAATAGTAAAAATGAGTGTTGAATTGTGAGGATGGTGTTATGGGTGTTGAATAGTGAGAAAAAGAGTTGGATTTGTCCACAAATCGATATGTAATCAAATGGAACCCAAGCTAAAGAAAGCACCCAAGAAGGCGCCGCCCAAAGCATTAGAGGGGGTCGCCCAAGTCATTCCCCAGGCAGGCGCCACCTAATGCTGGCCCTCCTGGTTCCTCCTTCGCTCCCTTTTCCTAGGTACTCCAACTCAAGTCCAGCTCACTCCAATGTCAGTCCAGACTCAGGGCCAAGCCCAATCTGACCCAAGATCATCCTCCAATCGAATAGGAACACGAGGGAAATAAAATATCGGGATACAGAGATCCAATCGTACTAAAGTTGAACTTACCAAAAGAGTGAAGACATTTTTCCTCACGTCATCGTCTCACCGCCTTTGTAAACCTATATAATGAAAGCCCCATACACATAAGGGGCATGACATTCAAACCTCATATCTCCCTACACACATCTCTCTCTTTCTCTATCTATCCCTTTCTAAGCACTGTAATACTCCTAGCGAATACTCTTTCCAGCGATTTCACCTATTAATAAAAGACTCATGCCACCACTGCCGTTTACGAGAATAGAGTAGGTCAACCGGACCGAACTATTATAAATCGTTGTGTTAGTTCTTTATATACTGTTTTACTATTAATTGTCTGTTTATTGCTCATTGATTGTCTCTGTTCATATTCTTGAATGTTGATCTTGCACGAGATCAATTTGTATATCATCAAAAATATCTACAAAAATA